TATCATGATCGGAGTTACCATAGCAATACAGTGACGTCATGTCATTTTTTTATACATTCCATTTTTGGCGAAATCAGACGTTTGTTTTAAAAATTGTTTAGCAGAACTTAAAGTTCATATGTTTGTCTTCAAGTTAACGAAGTTTCGAAGATTTGTATGGAAGCGTTTCGAAATAATTGCCGTCGGAACTTTTGGGCAACAGAAATGTAGACAATCCAAAGCAATTAGTTCATGTGACCGAAACCTTTCCTTTCTGGACATGGGAAAAGCTTTTTTTGGGGTCATAGTCTTGTGTTACTATTCCAATAGTCCTTCTGAGAGCCTAGTTAGTAAAGTTGTGCCTTTTGATATCTTGTCAAAAATTTCACTTGTCTTTACTAAAAACGGTCAAACTCAATAATCCGATGATTTATTTTTTTTAACTTCCAAGTCAGTTACTTTAGATAACGCATTTATATACCCTAAAGTTTCAAGTTCATTGAAATAATTTAAAACCGTCAAATAATATTCTCAATTCCGTAAACATTTGTATCCTAATTCTAAATATGCAACCGCTTTCTTCACTCGCACTATGTTTATATCGCTACGCCTTTCTATTGTCCAGAATATTTCCAAAGTCGTGCATTCCAACACCTCACGCTTTACATTCAATGCCTGATTGCTTTCCGAAACCCTTCCGCTATGATAATTTGTGATTGCAATTCCCAAGTCCAGAAAGGAAAGGTTTCGGTCACATGAACTAATTGCTTTGGATTGTTTACATTTCTGTTGCCCAAAAGTTCCGACGGCAATTATTTCGAAACGCTTCCATACAAATCTTCGAAACTTCGTTAACTTTTAGACAAACATATGAACTTTAAGTTCTGTTAAACAATTTTTAATACAAACGTCTGATTTCGCCAAAAATGGAATGTATAAAAAAATGACATGACGACACTGTATTGTTATGGTAACTCCGATCATGATAAATTGTATATCATTTAAAACTTGAATCTATCTCTAAACATGTCATAATAATTTATTTGAAATTAACTTATTGGCAGCGACGCATTTGCCCTTCAAACTTCGAAGGTACGCCACAAACAAAACCCAGTCGAGCCACCTTAAGTCATGCAAAAAAAATACGATCGCTTGTAGCTTCTTCCAACAATTGTGCATCCCCCCATTTTTCTGATAAAAATTTGCCCATCCCCCTTTTTCTTACCAAAATTTTCCCGATCCCCCCTCAATTTCACCTGCCCCCCCTCTGTCATACATTATGAACGCAGCCTAACTACTTTGTTTTTCTTTCCCTAAACCCAAAGACATGCATTTAATGGATTGTTTCTCGCCATTATTATCTTATACTAGCGGGACAATTAATTAAGAACGAATATTTAACCGCTTCAGTGATTTTTACCCATATTCGCTTTCGGTCCAGTCGCGTAGGCTTGAGTCGGTCAACGACATCGTTTTTTGAATTGACCGTATATGAAATGAAGTGGTTGATATGGTGACTGTAATGGTCCAGTCAGGTTATATTGTAATATGTAATTAGCATAATTAATATCAGTGTTTTTCCTGTCATTCTTAACAGGTGATCAAGTTTTGAGTCAAGGGCAACAAGGTCAGAAGAGGTCATCAGCTGATGTCCAGCCATGTTGGTTTTCTGAATTTGAATTGAATTTGTTAAACTGCAGTTCATAATGATATAATTTTAATTTATTTTTTCGCACAGCACTTTCCAGTAAATTCTTAAAACCCTTTTACATAAATGTTTAAATAGAACAACACTTCCAAGTTATAAAAAAAGTATTGCAAATAATCTGAAATACAAAACGATTGTGTGTCATTATCAAAAAAGCAATGTATGAGGTCCAGATTTTTTGAATTTGTATGGGTCAGATAAAGGAGATTTACTACGACTCGAGTATGAGTTTGAGTTCAAGTTCAAGTTAGGTACCAGTTTAGTCAAACAGGTTTGGAAATACTCCCGGGGGGTACTCCGCCAGGATTTGGGTAGGGGTGTTCTGAAAAGGGTTACCCTGTTTATGACAAAAAAAAAAAAACAAAAAAACACACACACACACAAATTTGTAGACCCTGTTTATGACAAAAGATATATTTAATTGCACTGAGTTCTTGTTTCAATTATCATGTCATCTCGCGTATTTTTTTTTTTT